TATATATTGCATTATAAGTAATGTAATTCAAAGATAGATTCCTGTTTGGTAAAACCATAAAGAAAACAAAAGGTACACTTGTGATAGTCTGGATTATGGATTAGCAAACATTCACTGCACCTCCCTCCGCTGGAAAGAATGGTACTTCCCCGCACTACTGAGGCTGCGCTCCGCCCCGTGACTTGCTTTGGCCAGTGGGATGTTAGCAGGTAAGCCAGGAGCAGTGCCTTACATGTACTTGTGCGTCGGATGTGGCTCTCACACTTCACTGAGCTGCCAGAAGAAGAATAGGCCCCAGGTAGACTTTGATCCAAATAGGATGAGACATGTAGAGCAGACTGGATCCAAATCCATCCAATCCATAACCTGAAGCACATAAAACTGGTCTGGGGAGAACCCCACAGTTGCTTTCTCAAACCCTAGCCCTATAGACTTTAAAAAATTATTATTAAATGAAGTAGGTCCACACCCCACCACACCCAGCCTAGGTTGTGCATGCATATATGCTCAGTCACTGTGGTTGTGTCTGACTCTATACGATCCTATGGACTATAGCCCCCAGGTTCCTCTGTCCATGGGGTTCTCTGAGCAAGAATCCTGGAGGGAGTTGCCATGCCCTCTTCCAGGGGATCTTCCCGACCCAGGGATTGAACTCAAATCTCCAGCATCTCCTGAATTGGTAGTTATATTCTTTACCCACTGAGCCACCTGGGAAGCCCAGCCTAGGTTGGTATGAAGCATAAGAGTAAGATAATTAACGCTCATTGGATTTTGAGGCAATATGTGGAATTTTCTGACAACAACCAACTAATACAGGTAGCAACAGCAAATTCAGGAAGAGAAAGGAGGGGATACAATCAGGGCTTTCAGGTATTAGCAATGCTTCACTTTTCAAGCCAAGTGGTGTGTTCACAAGTATTCATCACATCGTTATTCTTTAAGCCATACATATCCATTATACATACCTGGTTTAAAAAAAAAAGCAACAATTGAGGGCCAAGGCCTACAACAACCTTTTGTGTACCTCAGTGGGTAGGCAGATTACTGGACTGGTGCAAGATGAGGATGGAGGGGGCTGGAAGGAGTGGAGCAGAGAGAAGGACAAAACCAGTGCAAAATGGGTAAGCCAGTGGTTGGATTTGGGTGGTAGAATATTTGGAGATTTTCTTTTCTTCTTTATCCTTCTCTGGATTTCCCAAAATTTTCTGAAATGTTTATATATGACCTTTGTAATCAGAGATGAGAACAAAAAATACAGTGGCAAGAAAGGCAGTCACTTCCCAACAGGCCTACTCTCTTTCTCCCCACTGGTAGGATGAATCATGACTAGTAGGATGAATTATGGCTGGTAGGATGAATCATGGCTGGTTTGAACCAGCCTCTCTCCCCTGCAGTCGGTTTAGTGGAACCTGTGTGCCCCACTACTGACCAGTGGGATGAAAGTGGAGGCCTCCTGGTGGGCGGTAGGGGCAGAATTTTAAGAAAACCTTCCCTTCCTGATAAAAAAGAAGAATATAGAGAGAAAGACAAGGATAGGGGTGGGGGAGATCTTGTACACTGTTGGGTAATGCTGTGATATTTGCGTCTGCAGCAGCCATCTTATAACCTTGAAGGAAGATGTTGCCAGGGAGGGTGGCTGGGGGGAGAGACAGCAAGGTCCTGAGTGACAGGCTGAGCCACTGAGTCAAACTAGGGGCTGTTCAGTTGACTTCCTGTTAAACAAGATTATAAAATTTCTGTGGCTTAAATCACTTTCTGTTGGGAAAGCCCCAAACATCCTAACTGACATGGAATATCTTTTTAAGTCTGCAGAGACATAACTGGACAGCCTTCAATGGAGGCTCACTACACCCTCTAGACAGCCAGTTTAGCATGTCTGTGTGAGCCGGGAGTGTCAGTCGCTGGGTTCAGGTCCCCCTTTTTAATAAGTCTACTCCCTCGACAGGGGAGCTTCCAGTGTGACACAGACCCATAGCTATTCCCTTCCCCAGACCCGCTCTACTTAAAAGTTGCTCTTTTAAAATCATTCATGTCAGCAGAATATGTTCCTTCTCCATTTCAGCACTGCAGGAACAGGGCCCTGTCTACTGGGTCTCTGGCTATGGTGCAGTGGGGTAAAGAGAATTCCAAGGATTGGAACTTGTACCTGATTTCTCTACTTGTTTGTTTCCCCTATTATACACCTGCCCTGCTGAGTGGGGCTAGTGGTGTGTGTCCCATAACTTCTTTGTGTGACAAAGCATTGGGCAAAGAGGAGACTGTAATATAGGGACAGTAAAGTAGCCAGTAAACCAGTCAATCCTAAAGGAAACCAACACTGAATATTCATTGGAAGGACTGATGCTGAAGCATCAATACTTTGGTCACCTGATGCAAAGAGTTGGCTCATTGGGAAAGCCCCTAACGCTGTGAAAGATTGAAGGCAAAAAGAGAAGGGGTTGACAGACGATCAGATGCTTGGATGGCATCATCGACTCAATGGACAGGAGTATGAGCAAACTCAGGGAGATAGTGAAGGACAGGGAATCCTGGTGTGCTGCAGTTCCACGGGGTTGCAAAGAGTGGGACACGACTGAGTGACTGAACAACAGCAAAAGTAGCCGTAAACTAGAATTAACCAGTGTCAACATCAACTGACTGCAGCCAGCTTTGTCCTCTCAACCAGACCTGCTCCTCAAGCTACATACAGGGTGAAGTCCCAGGTGTGAGAGGCGGGGGGCAAAGCCTTCCCAGCAGCACTGCCTACTCATGGAGACCTCCCCAGCGGACCCACTTTCCATGGCTCTTCATCTACCAGGCCTCATCTCAAGAAATCACCAGTGCCTTCCTCTCCCCACGTAAATCACACGATGTCGTTTCTTTGTCAAAACCCCTCCAACACCCTCCAGCGCACTCTGTGTTCATGCCCATCTTCCTCTCTGTGCTTCTCACTGGTGGGTCCTACCCTGTGAAGTGCTGGACCATAAAGAAAGCTGAGCACTGAAGAATCGATGCTTTTGAACTAGCCAGTCTCTAGCAGCTGCTGCTCTTTCAGGAGGGACCTTCAGCTGTGCTTCCCTATTCCCCATCTTGACCCTTCTCCCCATGAAGGACAGGCTGCTGGTAGCGATTATCTACTAGCCACTACAGTACCTTTAGAAGTGCTACTCAAGCCCAGGACTGTCGACTAGAAGGGTTGCTCTAGAATGCCGGTCCAGGGGCTTTCCTGATTGTCCAGTGGCTAAGGCTGTGAGCTCTCAATGCAGGAGGCCAGGGTTCAAATCCCTGGATCAGGGAACTAAATACCATAGATCACAACTAGAGATCCCTCATGCCACAACTAAGACTCGGTAAGACCTGGCACAGCCAAGTAAATAAATATAGAATAAAAAAAAAAATAAAGAAAATGCCAGTCCAGGGAGTTCCCCATGGTCCAGTGACTGAGACTCCAAGCACCTGAAGCAGGGGCCCTGGTTCGTTTACTGGCCAGGGAACTAGATCCTAAGTGCAGCAGCTAAAAAGATCCGACAAGCCACAACTAAGACCTGGGGGCAGCCAAATAAATAAATGATAAGTGAAATAAAATGCCAGTCCAGGGATTTCTCTGGCAGTCCAATGGTTAGGAGCCTGTGCTTTCACCTTTAGGGCTTGGGTTTAATCCTTTGTCAGGGACCTAAGATCCTGAAGCCATGCGGCAGGTCCAAAAATAAATAAATAAAATGCCAGTCTAGAATGGAACCCAGTTTATCTAACTCTTCACCTTAGCTAAAGCATTGGTGGTGGTTCAGTTGCTAAGTCGTGTCCAACTCTTGCAACCCCATCGACTGTAGCCTGCCAGGCTCCTCTGTCCATGAGATTCTCCAGGACAGGCCAAGCCAGGCTCCTCTGTCCGTGGGATTCTCCAGGACACACCAAGAATATTGGCGTGGGTTGCTATTTGCTTCTCCAGGGAATCTACCCAGTAATCGAGCCCAGGTCTCCTGCATTGCAGGCAGATTCTTTACCAACTGAGCTACAAAGAAAGCCCTAAAAATGAGAACACTGGTGGTGGCTACTGCTACTGCTACTGCTAAGTCACTTCAATCGTGTCCGACTCTGTGCGACCCTGTCCCTGGGATTCTCCAGGCAAGAACACTGGAATGGGTTGCCATTTCCTTCTCCAAAGCATAAAAGTGAAAAGTGAAAGTGAAGTCGCTCAGTCATGTCCGACTCTTCGCGACCCCGACCCCATGGACTGCTGATGGTGGCGGTAGTGGCTAAAGCACTGGAAAGTCTTACTGACTTGGGTGCCCGCTTTGGTGCAGCAACCAAATATGACCACAAGGGGGCAGCAGCACATCTTCACAACTGGAGGGGTTTGGCTACAACCAGGAACACCTCAAGATGCTTTCACCCTGCAACAGCAAAAGAGCCAGATGGAGGTCTGCGGGTACCCTGGTGAAGGCAAATAACCTGATGTGCCTTTAAAATGACATTCTTTAAATACTTGTTTAAATGCATTTAGTGGGGAGGAAAAGAAACTACTTTTCTGTTAATAAATGTATGTAAATAAAAATAACAACAAACACATGTAAATATATAAGCATATATAACCACATTCCTTGTGGTTAGCAACTAGGAGGGGGCTTGAAGGAGGCTGGTGCTGTTTCTTGATCTGTGTGCTAGTTACACGGCCATGTTCACTTTGTGAAAGTTCACTAAGCTGGACCATTATGATATATGTACTTTTCTGTAGATATGCTATGCTTCAAGAAAAATTAATAAAACATCCATGGTAATGATGTCAACTAAAAACTGTACTTACTTTGTTCAAAATAAGTGATTTATGCACTGAATGTAGCATAAAAGTTTTTGAGAATAAATAGGTAATATATTCACAAGTTTCAAAATTCAAATCCTACAAAAAGGTGAATGAAAAGCTTTCTCCCATTCCTGTTCTTCAGCTACTGAGTTCCCTCCTGTAACAGTTATCTATTATTGTGCAATAAATCACTCCAGGACTTAGGGGCTTAAAGCAACAACCACTTGTTTGCTCAGAGTTTTGTGGGTCAGTAATTTGGGCTGGACCCAGCTGGGTGGTGCTTCTGCTGGTCTCCCCCGGGGTGAACCATGCTGCTCACTCCCTTGGCAGATGGACTGTGGCTGTAGCTGTCAGATGGCCTCACTCGCATGTGTGTTGTTCAGGCTGTCTGCCAGCTGGGCCTCTTTCTCTTTGTGGGCTCTCGTTCCCCAGGAGGCTCCTTCACATGGTGGTTTCAAGGCAAGAAGAAGGAAAGGAAAGAATTTATAAGGATACTTAAGGCCTCAGCCCAGAGCTCAAACATCACTTCAGTTGCATTCTATTGGTCTAAGCAAGTTACCAGGCCAGACAGCTGTGAGGGGGGAGAAACAGACTCCATCTCTTGATGTTAGGAGCAGCAAAGTCACATAGCAAAAGCTCATGCACACAGAGACTGGATGAAATTCGTGGCCAATCTACCACACTTGCTTGCCATGGACTTTCTCGTACAGCCTTCTAGAAATATTTTGTACATATTTAAACAAATCATACATACATGTGCATATATATATGTACCCATATATATGCAGATGCCTCCACTTCACGCTAGAAGCCTGAGAACCTTCCCCAAATTCCCTCTTTCTCTCAAGATTTATGCTCAATCAGCAGGTTAGTACAATCTCCAAAATTTACATAAAATCTATCCACTTCTCACCATTTCTATCGCCATCTCTCCAAGTCACTTCCACCTCTTCGTGCTTGGCATGGTCTCCTAACTAGTCTTCCTGCTCCATTTTTGTCCCACTTGAAGACTCTTCACCTAGCAGGTAGCTTTTAAAAATATAAATCATATCATGTCATTTACTTGACAAAGATTTTCCAAGGGCTTCCATTTCACTCAGTGTATGTTTGCTCCTATTTTCCTCTCTGAACATCCTCATACCAATCTCTCCCTCTTTGTTCACTAAGGCCCAGCCCTTCTACTCTCAAACACACCAGGTTATTCCCTGCCCCAGGGCCTTTGCATCAGCTGTTTCTTCAGCGTGGGGTGCTTTTCCTTTTGGGGTCTGGCTCCTTTTCCTCCTTGACACAGCTTAGATATTACCTCCCTTAGAGGTAACCCCAACCAGCACTCCCCCTTCCACCTACAGTATTATTTCTACTACAGCACACTATTTACTTCCTTTGGAGTTTATCCTATTGTCTTGCTTATTTGTTATTTTTCTTATATTTTTCCTCTCCTCTCTTTCTAGAGTGGGAACTTTGCTTTCTCATTAATGGATCACTTGAACATAGCACAATGTATGGTCCATAACAGGAGCTCAAAAAACATGTGTGGGCCAAACAAAGAAGGTTAAGGAGGACGTGGATTTGACAGACTCTAATAGGGAGGGAGGCCTTTAACTATGAGAGAATGGAAGAAGCTCATGACTCAGTTTGGGGGTTCAGGGAAGGCTTCCTGTGGTGGAAATCTCTGAGCTGTGTTTAGAGAGACACATCAGTGTGTGTTGGCTCATGGGTCACTTTAACAAGTGGAAGAAGCTGGGGTAGTACTTACAAGCACCCATTCTAGAAACTGTTTTTGTTTCTTTCTAGAAGAGTGCATTTTAATCTGAGGTCCATGGACCCATAAAATTCATGGGGCCTGTGTAGTAAAAAATATATATTTATATGCATTAACCTTTAATGTAATTTAGCATTCCCTTCAATTACAAACGTAGGCAACCAAGTCCATTTGTCTTCCCCGCTGCCCTTCCTCCCCTCCTGCCTTTTCTTTCAGAAACAGAATCTGCCCTAGATGGGCACATGGCAGAAGCTGGCCGGTCAGAATCCTCCCCTGGAACGTTTTCCTCTGGAGCTGGCAGATAGGAAAAAACGAAGCAGATACACAGAGGCCAGAGGCAGAGAGAGAGAACACACTTTTCACTTAAGCTAGACCCAGCTTTCTGGATGTACAACTAGAAGCTCTGCCTAATACAGGCCATTTTTTAAAGTTTCTCCTGATCAGGCACTCTTATCTGCAGTGGGATGGGATTTATGACATTTTTATGACTAGATGATAAGTGTATGTTAGAATTCATGTCTAAATTATTCATGCCCTTATTGCTAAGGCATAAAACTAACATACAGTCTCAAAAATACTTGCTGTTATCACAAGGTTTTCTTCCTACTTGGGATGGGTTTCTTAGGCAAGAGGAGTGTGGCCTTCCAATACAGTGCAAGTCACTGCCCTGCACAGTTCACTCTAGGGGAGATGCAGGGCATCTTCCCTCTATCTGAGGGCATCCCTGTCTCAGGGCACCAGGGCCAAGAGCCCTAACCTGTGCAACCTATCTAACCAGTGTACTGGAAATGTCAGCAGGGGACTCAGATACAGACCCAAGCTCAAGGCCAGAAAGCCACATCCATGAAAGATAGGCGAGAGCAGAAACTTCTTGGGAAATTCACCATCATCAATTCACTTCCTGCTCATACGGGGTTCAAGGACCCAGGAAGTGTTCTGAAGGATGAGCAATCACAGGCTTTTTCAGGCTGGGTTTGGTTTCATGGGCTTCCCTGATAGCTCAGTTGGTAAAGAATCCCGCCTGCAATGTGGAAGACCTGGGTTCAATCCCTGGGTTAGGAAGATCCCCTGGAGAAGGAAAAGGCTATCCACTCCAGTATTCTGGCCTGAAGAATTTCATGGAATCGCAAAGAGTCAGACACAACTGAGCAACTTTCACTTTTCACTTGGGTTTCATTAATAGCAAGATTCCCTCAAAAATGTAGTAGACCTCCGGTCTACTCGGTTCTAGTCAGTTCCAACGTGAGTAACTATACTCAAAGATCTTATCCAGACGTGGTTTTCAAACCCAACATTCTGCTCTTCTACTTTCTTGCCATTTCTTCAACTGAATGATGGCTCTCTTCAGGCCATCTGAAACAACAGGCTTGGGTGGCCTTCCGGCACCATTCTTCTCCTCTTCTTTTCTAAAAATTATTTATTTGTTTATTTCTGGCTGTGCTGGATCTTCATTGCTGTGAGAGCCTTTCTCCAGTTGTAGCAAGCAGGGGATACTACTAGCTGTGGTGTGGGCTTTTCATTGTGGTGGCTTCTCAGCCACCAGGGAAGCCCACACCATTCTTTACCAACAGGCTCACAGCTTTTCTAAAGAGGGCACTAGTCTCAGCTCCTCCTAAGGCTGCCATTTTGCCATTACCACACATAAGTGCTTCAGTGAGCAAGCACCTGGCTTTTTAAACTCCGCAAAACTTAAAATGACAAGATTCTCAGTCAACCTAGATTACACGTTATAGCAAACAGTTCCTCCCTTAGCAAAGTTGTACAGAGGGGCTAGATCTAGCTTGAGCTTCTCTATCTCTTTCTCTCTGGTAGGACTTCGCTGAAAGTAATACGAAGGAGCCAGAAAACACCAACATTCTAAATTTCCCCATCTTTCTCTGTTGCTACATCGCATTGCTACAACCTCAATTAGATCATAACATGCCTCCCAAGGTGAGGTAGTGTGTGTCTGAAGATTGCCTCCAATGAAACACACCTCCCAGGATTCACAACTTTATACAGTACTCTTTATTTATTTATTGGCCATGCCTCACAGCTTGCGGGATCTTAGTTTCCCAACCAGGGAACCACTGGCCCACCAAGTGAATTCCCGTACCCTCCCTTTATATCTGGGCTGGCACAGTGAATCACTTTAAAGCCTTACGAAAGTCTGACAGCTTTTACTTTTGCATATTTGGGGTCCAGCTATTGTGTAAAGAAGCCCAAGCTGTAGCACATGGGAAAGCAGTCACAGCCCTTCCAACCGTCCCACCAACGTGCCACACATGTGAGTGAAGTCATCCTGGATATTCCATCCCTTGCCACCATCTGCCTGAATCCTCATCAAAGACCCCTGTGAGACCAAAAGACATGTCTGATACCCTGGTAATGCCTAACCACGTGATTCGGTCCCTTTTATGGCTTAACAGGAAACAAGCTAGGGAAAGAAAATCTCAAATGTAGATCAAGATAAGCCAATCTCTTATAACAGGAGAAAGATCCTGTCTCTAGAAGCAGAAGCTAAATCCATCAAAAATACAAGTGGGAGGGCTTCCCTGGTGGCTCAGTGGTAAAGAATCCACCTGCCAGTGCAGGAGACACCGGTTGATCCCTGGTCCAGGAAGATTCCACATGTCCCAGAGCAACTAAGTGTCACTGCCGCAACTACCGAAGCCCGTGCACCTTAGAGCCTGTGCTCCACAACAAGAAAAGCCACCGCAATGAGAAGCCCATGCACCACAGGGAAGAGGAACCCCTGCTCGCCACAGCTGAAAACCCTGTGCAACAATGACCCAGCACAGCCAAAAATAAATAACTAAAATACCAGTGGGGGTATTTCCCTGGTGGTCCAATGGTTAAGACTCCATATTTCCAATGCTGGGGACATGGGTTCAATCACTGGTCACGTAACTAAGATCCCATATGCTGCACAGTGTGGGGAAAAAAAATACAAGTGGAAAGAGCAAAAGTAATACTAAAGACTCCAGCCCTTCCTAAAGAACTCTAGGACATCTGTAAAGAGTCCGATCAAGTCTCTGGAGGAATGCTGGCTAAAGATGAAAGACCTAACAGTTCCACTTGGAGAAAAGTGGAAAGAGCAAAAGTAATACTAAAGACTCCAGCCCTTCCTAAAGAACTCCAGGACATCTGTAAAGAGTCCGATCAAGTCTCTGGAGGAATGCTGGCTAAAGATGAAAGACCTAACAGTTCCACTTGGAGAAAAGAACACAGGTAATGACTTGGACGTGGGAAATGGAGACAGTATTTATGACCAGACCAGAAGAGCCAAGAGGAATCTGACTGATGTTGAAAACTCAAGTGTGCATTTAAACAGCCAAGATGGAGAGAGAAATCAGTTCTACGACAACCTCACTAAAGAAGGAAACACAATCATCGAAGGCTAATCATCTTAGGAGTAGTCAAGCTGAGCAAATCTTGACTTTTGAAAAAGTGTAGAGTCTTCAGAGAAGAGGAAATGAAGTGACTGAACTTTGTTAAGTGAAAGAAATGGAGTCTCTTAAGAAATTACCTGTCCAGGAAAGTCATTACTTAGAGCAAGAGGAAGCAAGTTCTGAAGCAAATGACCAGATGAACACACAAATGAAGAAGTAAAGACTTTCAGACAGCACATCAAAGACAGTTATGAAAACCTGGAAGGCATCATTTGTTCTCAAAACCAAATTATTTCCTTTGAACCAAAAGGTCCCAATCATTGGACAAGAGCACAGCAAGTGGAAAGAAACCTCTCCATGATCCAGATGGAGCATTTTCCAGGGAGCATTTGCAACCCCTCACTTCTGGGTATGGGGTACCGTTTCTTCCGAGATAGGAAGGTCTCAACACCCCTCCCCTCAGACCTTCTTCTGGGTTGCCAGGCTTTCTTCCTCCGTTCCCAAATCTGGTGTTTCCTATAGTTTCAAATGGGGAGTTCTGACAAGAAGATATCTTCTTCCCTGTATTAGGGCTCTCCAGAAAAACATAGCCAGTAGGTTATACATACATATAAAGTGATTTATCTCAAGGAATTGGCGGTTGTGAGGCTGGCAAGTCTGAAACCTGCAGCCCAGGTCAGCAGACTGGAAACTCTCAGGCAGGGGCTGAGACCACAGTCCACAGACCATACAGTCATCTTCCTCAGGGAAAGTGAAAGTGAAGCCACTCAGTCATGTCTGACTTTCTGTGACCCGGTGGACTGTAGCCTACCAGGGTCCTCCATCTGTGGGGTTCTCCAGGCAACAATACTGGAGTGGGTTGCCATCTCCTTCTCCAGGGGATCTTCCTGACCCAGGGATTGAACCCAGGTCTCCCGCATTGCAGGCAGAAGCTTTACCCTCTGAGCCACCTTAAGGCCCTTCAACTAATTGGATGATTATCACGGATAATCTCCTTTACTTAAAGTCAGCTGATTGTGGAGGTTAACCACATCTACAAAATAGCTTCACAGTAACACCGAGATTAGCGTTTGATTGAATAACAGAGTATTATAGCCTAGACATAAATAAAAGAACGGCCTCTGTTCCAGAGCCTGGATGAACCCCTCAGCACTGGTTTTCCCCCAAGAGGTTGTAGTCCTTATCTTTCCTCATGGGTTGGGTTTTTCTCTGGACATTCCTGTCCAGGAAATGGAAGTACACTACTTTCCAGGTTCTTTGAATAGGCATGTAACCCTTCTACTCAAACCCCTGAAACACTGCAAGGACATTGCTTTTTTTTTTCAAAATTATTTGAGAATTATCTACATTTTTTAAGTTAGAACACTTCTTAACACCATACACAAAGATAAACTGAAAATGGATTAAAGACCTAAATGTAAGACCAGAAACTATAAAACTCTTAGAGGAAAACATAAGCAGAACACTCTGTGACATAAATCACAGCACGATCCTCTATGAACCACCTCCTAGAATAATGAAAATAAAAACAGAAACAAATAAGTGTGACCTAATTAAACTTAAAAGCTTTTGCACAGCAAAGGAAACTATAAACAAGGTGAAAAGACAACCCTCAGAATGGGAGAAAAATAATAGCAAATGAAACTGACAAAGGATTAATTTCCAAAATATACAAGCAGCTCATACAACTCTATACCAGAAAAAAACAAACAACCCAATCAAAAAGTGGGGAAAAGACCTAAAGGCATTTCTCCAAATATACAATGACTAATAAGATGCTCAACATCACTGATCCTTAGGGAAGTGCAAATCAAAACCACAAAACAACACTTTTCACCTGCTAGGGTGGCTATAATCAAAGAGAGACAATCTTACAATATGAGACTTCCCTGGGGGTCCAGTGGTTGGGACCCCCCTCTCCCCCTGCCCACTTCCACTGCAGGGGGCAAGGGTTCAGTCCCTTATTGGGGAACCAAGATCATGCATATCACGATACATAACAAAAAAATTTTTAAATATAGATAAATAAACCTTAAAAAAAGAGACAATAACAAGGGTTGGCGAGGATGAGAAAAACTGGAAAGCTCACAGATTGCTGCTGGAATTGTAAAATGGTGCAGCCACTTTGGAAAATAGATTGACAGTTCCTCAAAATGTGAAACAGAGTTACCAACTGATTTAGCAATATCATACACAACAGGAATATAAACATACCTTCTCCCAAAAACTTGTACACAAACATTCACAGCAGTATTGTAAGATGGAAACCACCCAAAATGTCTATCAACTAATCAGTGGATAATAGAACATGGTTTAGAATGCTATTCACCAATAAGAAGAAATCAAGTACAGTTAGTCCTCCGTATTAGCAGCAGCAGCACCTGTGAATTCAATCAATCACAGATCAAAAATATTACAAAAAATTCCAGTAAGTTTCAAAGAGCAAAATATTTGTCTAGAACAGGCAAATATTACATAATTGTAAAAACATTTACATTGTATTTCCAACTATTTACACAGTATTTACATTGTATTAGGTATTATAAGTAATCTAGAGATGATTTAAAGTATACTGATGTGGATGTGTGTAGGCTATATGCAAATTTTATGTCACTTTATATAGGGACTTGAGCATCTGAGTGTTGTGGGGAATCCTGGAACTAATTCTCCGCAGATACAGAGGGTCAACTGTTCTGATACCTGCTATAACATGGATGAACCAAGAAAACATTAAGTGAAAGAAGCCAATCATGAAAGGTCACATATGTGAGGGCCTTTCAGGTGGTACAGTGGCACAGAATCTGCCTGCCAATTCAGGAGACTCAGGAGACGTGGGTTCGATCCCTGGGTCAGGAAGATCCCCTGGAGTAGGAAATGGAAACCCATTCCAGTATTCTTGCCTGGAAAATTCCATAAACAGAGAAGACTGATGGGTTACAGTCCATGGAGTCGCAAAGAGCCAGACATGACTCAGTGACTGAGGATGTATGCATGCACATATGCAATGTTCAAAATAAGCAAATTCATACAAAGTAGTAGTTGCCATGGACTTCCCTGGTGGTCTAGTGGCTACGACTCCACACTCGCAAAGCAGGAGGCCTGGGTTCAATCTCTGGTCAGGAAGCTAGATCCCATATGCCACAACTAAGACCCAGTGAAGCCAAATAAATAAATACTTAAACAACAGCACCATAACCACGTAGTGGTTGCCAGGGACTTGGGGGAAAGGGGATTGAGAGTGGCTGCTAGAGGACACAGAGTTTCTTTGGGCTGCACTTCACAGGCCTACAAGGCCCATGCTTGCCCAGCTTCAAGACTGAAGAAAGATCCCAGAGTCAGCAACAGAAACACCAGTGGTTTAAGGATGGGGGGAGCTTACATGTCTGAAGCAAGGTCCTGAAGCAGTACCCCACGGTGTGTGGCAGAAAATAGACAGGAGAGGACCTGGCGGCAATCTTCACTCCAGAGGGGAAGGGAAGGTTACCAGTTATAGGGGAATTGATGTCAGGTGGGCTCATTAGTTACCAGGGAAACCAGTAAAGAGCACACTCCTTACTGCCCCTTTGCTAAGAACAATCACCAGTTGGGACCTGGGGCAAGTAGGTAGGAAGGTCCATGATTTGAGTGGTGAAGCAAGCACTGGTCAGGCAAGGGATGTACAGAGAGCAAGAGAACAGCCATCTTGAATGTCTTAACCATATAAGTTTTCTTTGAGGGTAATGAAAATGGTATGTGAGAGTTCCCTGGTTGCCTAGTGGTTAGGATTCTGGTCTTTCCCTGCTGTGGCCTGGATTCAATCCCTGGTTGGGGACTGAGATTTCACAAGCCAAGAGGTGCAGCCAAAAAAAAAAAAGAGAGAGAAAGAAAGAAAATGATCTGAGACTAAATAGTGGGGATGGTTGCACAACTCTGTGAATTTATCAGAATAGGGAATTGTGTACTCTAAAAGAGTGAATTTCATAATATGTAAATTATATCCCACTAAAATTATTATTAAACTTTTACATAAGAGGTTTTACTTTTGCTCCAGTTGCAGTTTTATATAAATCTCAGAATTTTTTTAGTAAATAGAGATGATATAAATCATTTTCATTATACTACTTTCTAGAAAATGTAAGTAGTAAATTTTAATTTGATAAGCCAGCCCACTATTCTCTAAACAATATATTATCTGAGAGCTGTTCATCCACCAGAGACATTTGAAATAACAAAACACTTTCTCTCTGCCAGTGGTTCTGTGTACCACAGTTACAACAGAAATATAAAAGTTACTTATCGGCTTGTTAGTCTTAATATATTTTAGTTAATTAAACAATCTCTCAAAGCCATCACTTTGTAGAGCTATGATTCCTACTATGCTCTCACCGCTTCTTGCTTGTCAGTCCATACTCTTTCCACTCATCTGCACAGCTGTGAACATTAAAAACAGTCTCAATAGCAATCATCATAGCTTCAAACATCTATGAAATCCCAAGAATTATACGTAAAATGTGACACGTGTGTGCATTTTTTCCTGGGCAGAATACAACATTATCAGCTTCTCAAAGAGAGTCATTGACCAGAATTTCAGAAGTTGATGTCAGGTCTTTCAGTGATATGCAGCAGACATTCAGTCCCTGGGTCTGGAAGATCACCAGGAGACGAAAAGGGCAACCCCATTCCAGTATTCTTCCCTGGAGAATTCCACGGACAGAGGAGCCTGGCGGACTACAGTCCACAGGGTCACGAAGAGTCAGACATGACTGAGCGACTAACACAAGCTGCGTTTAGATTTTGTAGTGCAATCTGTGGTTTTAGTTTGCCAAGCATCCCGTCCCTTTTTTCTTGTCATAGCACCCCCTCTTTGGTTGGGGAATAGGGAGACCTTCTTATGAATTCTACAATGATGCTGGAAAATCTTTTCTTTTCATCTGTTACTAAATCCAGAGAAGGTAATTTTGGAGCTGTCTGCACTGTTAGCCCACACCACCCCTCTATGAAGCAGCCTCCCCAGGGGAGCAAGGACAGCTGGGAAGACAAGCAGCACCCAGATTCTCTGAGGTCAGCTTCACCCTTCCCTTCCTCCCTTCCATCCTTTTACAGAAGAGGTGACAACTGTAGTCTGGAGAAGGTAGGGGTGGGCCAGTCCATACAGGACATAGGGACGCAAAGCGTGATTTGGGAGAACTGATTTCTGGGGCTGTACGGAGGGGGTGAGCTCCGGGGCAAGTAGGATCAGCCCTGGTGGATCCCTCAGCAAGGCATGCACTGCACGAAGGACCGAGGCACAGGGTTAGCTGAGGTCAGGATTACAGAAACCCAGGAGCAAGACGGGGAAGCTTAAAGAGCCAAGCCGTGCCTCCAGGACTGGGGTGACGGCACGGTCAAGCCCGGCTGAAGGAACATTTAGCCCCGGCCCCGACCGAGAGGGGAGGGCTAGCCCCGCCTCCCACCCCGGGAATCTTAGCGATACTAGTGCAACACCACCTCCGAATCACAGATGACTTGTAATCCAGAGAACTGAAGGTCAAATAGGGTATCCATCGGTGAGCTTGGGGAGCGGACTGGAGAGAAAGGACGACTTTCTCTAGGAGCTGTGTGCCCTCCTTTGCCACCCCCTTCCGGTTTCCACTTGGTAGCACCTTCCTGATCCCCTTATCTCCAAGGCTCTTAAGGATATGCCCCCCTGCAGGAGCCTTCCGGGAAATGCTGCTCTGACCGCCCAGGAACCATGAGTCCTGCAGCTCCGGTAAGAGAGAGGTCCCTGGGACAGGACAAAAGACCCAGGGCAGGGTGGGTTCTGTTCTCAAGGGATCTTTCAGGCCTGGACAGTCTATCTCCTCTAGAATGATATCCTGTATCTGCTCCTAGCTGGGGCTTTGTGGGGTTGAACTATACAAGGAAATGATCCTGGAGGAACAGACCGTGGTGGTGGATAAATAGTCTTCTCTCTCTAGTTGGGCCCTTTTCCATCCATTTTTGACTGTCCTAGAAATTCCAGGCCACAAATTGTACCATCTAGCTCCTCACCCGACCCCAAGCTCCAGTCACTATGTCATAAAATGCCCAGGCTCCTGAGCCTGTCTTCCAAGGCCTTCATGTTACATCCTTGCAACCCCTACAGCTTCATCACCCACCGATCCCCATGCTCTCCCACCCCAACCCCTGCACTCTGCTTTCCAAACACTGAAATATGAGACATTGTTGTTTAGGCGCTCAGTCATGTCCAACTCTTTGCAGCCCCATGGACTGCAGCACACCAGGCTTCCCAGTCCTTCACAATCTCCTGGAGTCTGCTCAAAGTCATGTCCATTGAGTCGATGATACCATCTAACCATCTTATCCTCTGTTGACCCCTTCTCCTGCCCTCAATCTTTCTCAGCATCAGGGTCTTTTCCAGTGAGTCCTCTCTTCCCATCAGGTGACCAAAGTATTGGAGCTTCAGCTTCAGCATCAGTCCTTCCAATGAAGATTCAGGACTGATTTCCTTTAGGATTGATTGGTTTGATCTCCTTGCTGTCCAGGGGATCTCAAGAGTCTTCTTCAGTACCACACTTTGAAAGCATCAATTCTTAGGCACTCTTCATGGTCCAACTCTTAAATCTGTACATGACTACTGGAAAAACCATAGCTTTGACTAGATGGACCTTTGTTGGCAAAGTAATGTCTCTGCTTTTGAATATGCCATCTAGGTTTGTCATAGCTTTTCTTCCAAGGAGCAAGTGTCTTTTAATTTCATGGTTGCAGTCACTGTCCACAGTGATTTTGGAGCCCAGGAAAATAAAATCTCTGTTTCCATTTGTTCCCTTCTATCTGCCATAAAGTGATGAGACACTCATACTCATCCTTCAAGACCCTGCAGCCTCCTCTGGGAAGCCTTTCTGAACCTCTCCATCAAAGTCAAACTCTTCTTTCCCATTGTCAGATCATACTCTGTACTTTGTGTGTTTATGTTGTGTCCCCCACCAGACTGGAAACTGGGAAATTAAGGGGCTTGTAGGATGTTTCTTTGTGCCTTCCACTAATGCCCAGTGCCAGGCACAAACTGAGTATCAAGAAAACATGGGAAAACTAGGAGCCTGATTTTCTCCCTGTAGTTTTACATTTTTCTAGAAAATTAGAGCTCAAGATTCTTGGGGGAAAGTATTTCATGCTAAATGAACAACATAATGACAAGAGCAAAATAAAATCACAGCTGCAGCCTCTCACCTGTGCTCCGAGTGGGCACAGGGCTACCTCCTACAAGAGGCTGTATAGTTCCCAGGTCTAGGCCTGCAGACTACAAGTCCCAGAAGGACTCCTGTCAGCCCATCGCCACATGCCCCGCCCCCTCCCTGGGGGGCGGGGCCCCGAGGCTGCTAGGCCCAGGGCTGCAGCG